CACAGTAAGTACATTGTATTTATTTTTTGATGTAAGTACATAGTAGTTAAGGACACTTAATATAAAGTGGGACCAAATAATTCAATACAATGTGGTTATTTAGAAAAAAATATGTGTAGTCTATAATAAATGTCATTATATATATTTTTCATTTAGTAAATGTACAATATGTTGTTGTTGTTGTTGTTGTTGTTGTTGTTGTTGTTGTTGTTGTTGTTTTAGTAAATAATGTCTATTCTGGGCCACTTGAATTTATGTGGGGCTACCAAAAACTGAAGAGTGCCTGCCTGAAAGGCTACAAGGATTTGGAAATTTTGCAAGCACTGAAAGACAACAGTATCAATGCTGCTGGACGGAATAATGCAATGAGGAAAAGATTTTTGACACACGTTATTTTAGCCCAAAAATCTGCTGGTTGACACACTTCAGGTCTGTGCTGTTGGCAATGAGCTTTTCATCTGCTTTCCACGTGACGTGACATGTTGCATACCACAGATGTGTGTTTTAAAAGATAGATGAAAAGCAAGAAAAGTTTTTTATCGTAAAAAAGAAGACAGAATTTGTAGAGATGGATGTTTCCATGCATTTTAGTTTGTTTGCTTTGTTTTATGCAGTTAAGGTTTTTTTTCCGTATTTGTCTGTCTATGCATTGGTTATTGGTTTAAAACCAAATATACAGAATTATCTGGTAAAAATATCTGTTAATTAACAGGTTTTGTATCTTGTGGTTCACATTATGGGAGTTTTATCTCTGCTCTGTCCACTTTTGATGCTAAAAATTCAACACTGCAGATTAACAAAGTGACTTTTATTGGGATTTTTATAGTTGTTATAGTTAATAGTATATTCCTATACAGAGAATTAAGTCTCTAAAATACCAGATAAAGTACTGACAGTTACTAGGTTGTTGTACTGTAATTTACAACACAAACACAGACTATACTTCAAACTATTAAAAATGTCATAAAGAGTCATTTTTAACTTAAAAAGCTTTTTTGAGAAAAAGTCAATATCCCATAATGCAATTCAAAAGCAGAATTAACTGAAAAAAAAAATCACCAAATACGAAAAACTGTTCATTTACAAATATTGTTTACAGTGTACCAGTATTGGTCAAAAGATTCATATACGAAGATGCATCAATAGTGATTATCATGACAGATAAAGCATATTGTGTAGTTAACAGCATATGTTCCATTGGCAACAAATCTAGTTAAACATGCACAACCTTAATCCAGTGAGTTACAAACAATCAGTGAACCACGTTGGTTTTGTTTTAAACAGTTAGATATAATCTTCAGTACAAGCTGTTGTGTGTGGCGTAAACAGTGATTCGGAGATCTCATTCCTGTTCACTTTTCTTCAGTCGTTCTGCTCTGCTCTTCAACCTGCTGATTGCATTAGCCTTTGAAAGTGTATCACGCGTTTCATGCCACTGCACTCTAATCAGTTTCTCATTTAATGACTGACCAGACCTCCGAGATGTGACTCTAGTTTCCCTCCAGACAAAAACAACCTCAACATTTACTTACTTTACTGGATCCGTAGCAAATGCATTAGTGCTTCATTATTGCAGTTTCGTTTTCCAGCTCTATTGTTCATTGTGGAAGATACAGGGTGTTTGTATTTGAGTCTAATTATAAAGTTAGTTTAAGCATACACATCATGCAGGGACCATCATTTCAATATAATTTCACAGAATGATTAATGCATATGGCGACGCAGTGGCGCAGTAGGTAGTGCTGTCGCCTCACAGCAAGAAGGTCGCTGGGTCGCAGGTTCGAGCCTCGGCTGGGTCAGTTGGCTTTTCTGTGTGGAGTTTGCATGTTCTCCCTGCGTTCGCGTGGGTTTCCTCCGGGTGCTCCGGTTTCACAGTCCAAAGATATGTGGTACAGGTAAATTGAATAGGCTTAATTGTCCGAAGTGTATGAGTGTGTGTGTGTGTGTGTGTGTGTGTGAGAATGTTTCCCAGAGATGGGTTGCGGCTGCGAGGGCATCCGCTGTGTAAAAACTTGCTGGATAAGTTGGCGGTTCATTCCGCTGTGGCTACCACGGATTAATAATTAGTGTAGTGGTTAAGCCATATTCCTCTTTTCATGTCCTCTTTTTCTTGGCTTACCAGTTAGTCCACTCCTAAATAAAACTTCATTTACTCGTCCTCCTTTTATTCTAAACACAAAGAAAACAAATGTTTCCACCTTTTGAACACAACAAGCGCATTTTAGAGAGATTTCTGACCCTACATTAAAGCTCTGATACTTTAAAATGTTTACAAAGAGATGCAGTTTAATTTAATTTGAACTAATTTGAATTTAAACTTCATTTAGATTACATTTGTTTTCACTGAAAATAGACAATACTTCTATTCTGGTCATCATGTTTCAGCTTTAGATTAAAATTGCCCTTTTGTTGTTATGAAACATGTTTATAATAATGCCATTATGTCAGCTTAGATACTTTTTAATGTGATCTGCTCTTAAAGGTTACAGCTCTATTAAATCTGTTACCTTCAGATGATGGATCTGGTTAGTTTGCAAGACTGTATTGCAGATTTCAAGCTGTTTTCTGTCTTTTTGTGTACAACCTTTCATTATACATGGAAAAATACACCTTCGTTCAGGGGTGAAGCAGGATAATTACATAGGAAAGGTGATGGTTAAATGTGCTTAAAGGCTTCATTGCTGTTGTCACATAGATTGAAGGGTGGTTTCTGTACAATCGCAAATGCCATTTATGCATAATGGCTGAACTTGTGTTACCTACAGTACAGTTAGGTAATTAGTTTACCCATAAAAATAGCCATGTTTCCATCCAGTTCTGAATTTAATTTAATGTGAGGTTTCTTGTACAGTATACGTAAGATCATTTTTACTACTCACACTTTGTTACATTAAATTAAATCTTGAATGCTCTGAAAATGTGATGTTTGCTTTTCATCAGCTTATGCAGGTTAAAGGATCAAGTTTCTGTGACCAATGTTCATCACGGTTTAAAAATCGATGATCTAAAAATAATTGTAAGCTATTATACAGAGCAGCTAAACATCAGTTCCAGGCACAAAAGCGCAGGGAGCAAACATATAAAGGGTGTGTCCCAATCAACTTTTGCTATTTTAAGGACGGGAAAAAAATGGCGTCGCACATGGTCTAACAGGGTTGTGCTTATTCTCTAAATGAGTTATAGGTGTGTTTTGAGAATAAACTAATCAGTCTCATCTCCCATTCCCTTTAAGAGTCAGTTGCGTCGCGCCATTGTGCATTTGCTATTTACATGGCAGACTTTGCAAATGGAAAAACTAAGCACGTCACTAGCGAGAAAACAGTTTACCAGAGCATCTGCAGCGCGAGAATGAGAGATGAGCATCCTAATTCTTTACTTTCACTTTCAGTCTCTTTCGTGGATAGGGAAACAATGTTGTATGCACAGAAATCCATTAGCCTACATAATTCATTTCGTTTGTTAAGCACAAGGATTTTATTTTTTGGAGTAATATTCAAAGACACATGCTATTTCCCATATGGTCCAAAACCTGACAGGTGGGCAAATCTAAGCTTGTTTTTAATAAGAGATATAAACATGCATATAATAAATACTACTACTAATAATAATAACATTATACAAAAGCAAGTTGTCATGAATAAACTGAAAAAAAAACAAATGAAGAAGGTATGAAAGTATGGTTTTATATTTATGGAGAAAATAATAATTTTTGTAATATTTCAATCCTTTAATTATTTTTCATTTGTAAAGATATTTGCGTATTGCTGTACATCCTCAAATAATTTAGTTTCTCAAAATAGCAACGCATCAGCAATGCGCCTTAACACGCTTCCCTTTTTAGACCAGACGGCCTATGGGCACACATATGAACACAAATGCATTTGCTATTTAAACAGCATGGTGCAAAACATCAAAACGACTATCAACAAGCAAACAACAGTTGCGTCATTGCGCCGGGTGTATGATAGGGCCCTTAATCTTACTGCTGATAGTTATTTTTTTCAGGAATAAGAGAAAAAAGGTTACAAATGAAATTTTCTTTGGTTTTAGTAAATCAGAATTAATAACATTGTTAATGTAAAAATGCACATCCAAATTACAAAAAAAAACTAAACTCGTCACAAATAAAACAAAATTAATTACTTGCATCAATAAAAAAATTAAATACAATTTTAAAATATTAAAATAGTTGATGATTTATTTATTTAAGCTAAGTATGTGTAAATACACTGTTATTCAGCAAGGATGCATTCATATTACCAAAACTGTCTCTATTTATTAAACAATTTATTCATCAAAAAACTTTAAACAGATGTGTCAGTGCACAATCAGCACAAGTGTTTCAACATTATCAATAATGAATGTTGCTTAAACATAGCAATTTTGTTAAGACCTGGTCTTAAGTACATTGTAAAAAACAATATGACAAGAAGTCATGATAACAAATGTTTTTGCTACTTTATCTTATTTTGATAAGTTAATCGGGTTGCAACTACATTTTTTGAGTCATGCAAAACTTAACTTCATATTTTAGTCAGGTTCAAGGATTATAGTTAACCCAATCTACCTTTGGGTAACCGAATTTAATGAAAAAAAAATTATAATTATAATAATGTTTCATATGTTTCTTAATATTAGAGTTATACTTTGTTTTGCTGTGATTGACCACTGGTGAGTATTAACTAGAATTAACTTAATTCTAACCAATGCAATACTTTAAATATTAGTGTATGTTGGATTGGCATGAGGATAGCAGCGTTCATAAAAAAAAAAAAACTAAAATAAATGTTATTATGGATAATAAACACATTTTCCTATGTTTTAAATATGAACTTTTGAGACTTTTTGGGGGGTTTTGCCATCATTTAGCAATGGCCAGTTGATTGACTTTACACAAGTTACTTCTGTGAAATCTAATGCCCTTTCATAGATTTGTACATTTGACTGAAACATGTTAACAGATCTTTCATTGTTCTTCTATTTTTGTACATTTATTGCAGGTTTATTAGACAAGGAGTCTCTAAAGGAAGCGGATGAGGACATGGTGTCAGAAGTGGACCTTAACAACACATACACAGAAGAGGAGCGAGAGGAAATGGAGAATGAGTTGACTAAGGTACTTTACTCTGTTCAGTTCTGTCATGCACTTTTTTGCACATACAGTTGAAGTCAGAATTATTAGCCCCCCTTTTGATCTTTTTTTCTTTTTTAAATATTTCCCAAATTATGTTTAACAGAGCTAGGAAATTTGGATGTCTGATCATATTTTTTATTCTGGAGAAAGTCTTATTTGTTTTATTTTATCTAAAATAAAAACAGTTTTTAATTTTTTAAAAACCATTTTAAGGTCAAAATTAATAGCCCCTTTAAGCATTTTTTTCGATAGTCTACAGAACAAACCATCGTTATACAATAACTTGCCTATTACCCTAACCTGCCTAGTTACCCTAATTAACTTACCTGTAGTTAAGCCTTTAAATGTCACTTTAAGCTGTGTATGAGTGTCTTAAAAAATATTTAGTAAAATATTACTTACTGTCATCATAGCAAAGATAAAATAGATCAGTTATTAGAAATGAGTTATTAAAACTATTATGTTTAGAAATGTGCTGGAAAAAAAAAACTTCTCTCAGTTAAACAGAAATTGGGAAAAAATAAACAGGGGGGCTAATAATTCTGACTTCAACTGTACATTCAAAGTTCAAATCATGGGTTGTGCTTCCGGAATGGGAAACTTCCACTTCAAAGAACTGAGAAATAATTGTAAAATAATATTTTATTATATTTATGATTGTTCATCCAGATTATTTTTGCTGTGTACTTTCTATAATACGATAATATTGAACCTCCTAGGGCTTAGTGTTCACATACGTGGACAGCACATTTTAGCTCTTAAGTGGCTATTTAAAATACTTTGAATGTTTTATATTTTGTTACAGACGTACAGTGTCATCCTGTTTTGCAGCATATGAAATGTCCCAAACACTATTTTTAACTGACCAAAATGGGGAAAAAAAATTTGTTTTTACTCTCTGATAGTCAAAACATGTTTAATAAATTTTAAATGTTATATATGCTTTAAAAACAGTCAGGAAAGAGCATCATAACAAAAGATGATATTAGGTTTTATTCTAATTAGGTTCCAATCAACCCAAATAGCAAAGAGAAATTAAAAAATGCATGTAAAAAAACACTTTTGGCCTTAAGATGTTAAAGGGGTCATGATCTGAGATTTCAACTTTCAATTTTAGCTTTTGGTATTTAAGAAGTCATCATACTAAAATAATACCAGAGCAGTGAAATTTTCTTCCAAGCCATCAGAAAGATGGCGTCAAGATTATTTAAAGAGTATTATTACTTGATGATTTAGATTTTTTCGAGAGAAATCTACATGGATATCATAAATGATCCTCTGGGCCCGGTTTTTCAAAAGGTTTAATCCGGATAAAATTGATCCAGATTTAGTAATCCTGTTTTTGCGATCCGTGATCAGGTAATCCAGCTTACTTTTTGAGCCAGTTTTTCAAAGCAACATCGGATTGGATCAATCTGATCCGGATAGGAACTTTTCAGGATCACTAAATTTGGATAACCAGTGCTTAAACAGCATAGGACATCACAATGTGGAACTATAGATATGTAAAGAGCGACAAGTAGAATAGCCAGCGTGGGGCCAATATAACTTTATTTTTATTTGAAATGAAAACTAAGAAAATGTGATAATTATTAAAATAATAATAATAATAAATAATAAAAACAAGAAAAAGCCCACCCCATCCTCTTCCAGCAGTCCGCTCATCTGAGACCTACAACACAAACACTGTACATTGAGGATATTTATGATTAGTTTCAAATATAGATGTAAATAAAAAAAGACTTAATGTCAAAAACTCCACAATAATTTCAGACTTCCTCATCTGATGTGGAGAGAGCAGCTTGTCTGAGCGTAGCCTTTAGGAGGCGGATCTCAAGTCATTGGCCTTGGTTTGCTGCAGTTTGATCAGAGTCAGTTGTTCCTCTGCCAGATGAAGCTGTGCTTCTGCCCTTTCAGTCTCTTTTTGCAATTGTTGAAAGTGATTTCAAAAATTAGCTATTACCATTCTTTGCAATTTATTTTTGTTATTCTGTAATCATTGCATGCATCACTAATAAATATTCTAAAAAGAAAAATACTTTTCATTGTGCTGAATATATATATCAGTTAGTGAAAGAAAAAAATTGATTGTTTTTGGTCAGTTTTGACAGCTGTTTGGGGGATTATTTTATGAGGCCAAACTCTTTCTACTTTGCTGTAGGCCTATACTGAAAGGCTGAATACATTAAAGCCAATAATCAATATAGCCTGACGGATGAACAAATAAAGTTAAAACCTTATGAATAAATAGTATATCTCGTAAGATACTGCATGATCCAAAAATAGTATTATTTAATACATTTTTAAAGTTTTCATTAAATTTTAGGCATGAAATCCACGCTAAATTCACACTTCTGATGGGATCAGTTTAATCCAGGTTTTTTGGATCAAAGTGATCCAAATCCTACAAAAAAAGGTCTGAAAAACCCAAACTAAAGGTTTGATCCGGATCAAAACCAAGATTGGATTACGTGATCTAATCTGATTAGTAATCTGTTTTTTCTTTTAAAAAACCCATTTTCAAGATTTGATCCAATCCCTTATCCAAAATCCTAGTGGATTACTTTTGAAAAACCAGGGCCCAGGTGACAAAATAAATCAATAAAAGAGCTAGTTCATGATCACTTTCACATGTCTTTAATATTATTCCAGTAAGGCTTGTTTCAAGTTTTGGGTTAATCATGGTCTGCTGAAAGTAATTTGTTTATTTGATTAAGTTTCTTTTTAGGATTTGATATATAGTGTGAAATATGAGGAGATTTTAAGCACTTCAATAATTATTTACAGTGTAACAGAGTCACTCCCATAATTCATCATAGGGTGTTGGGAAAATGTGGATGGATAAGGACTGGTTGTCCTCAGAAAAAAAGGGTTGCTTTTGTACTCAAAGGCCTCAAAGCTAAAGCAGAAATGGTCCTGCCTATTATGTAAATTTTGCACATTTGCATGATGTGACTCAATGCAAAAAGTGAACATGTACTATTGGCTCAGGAAGCCACTTTTATCTGTTATAACCTTTAAAAAAAATGAGGATGGAAATGATTCATTTATATTAAAGCTGATAGTGCTGCCATGTGATCTGGTCTTTAGTACTGTACCATTGTTTGCTGAGCTGTTGCCGCACAGAAATGGTCTGCATTATCTCATGCAAAGCATACACTCATGATTGAAAATCATGTGACCAAAGCTTTCCTTTTTTCCTTGAGCTACTTTATCCTCCCAAATCTTCATGGTCCACTGAGTGATTCAAGTCTGACGTTAACAGTGACACAGTTTGAGAAAGAAGACACATAATATTCACTTTTTTCTAAACAAGAATGATGGGAGGCATTTCCGTTTTAGAGAACTTCCATTCAAAATGACTGATATGAATCATTTAAAACAATAGGGTAATGTGTTAGTTCATATCTGTATGGCTGAATAATCTCTACAGTTCTTTTATAGTCTATTTTTATCTGTCAGGAAAAGAATATAATGCTTTTTTTGATATCACAAGAATATTTGACTAGTTTGCTAAAATATATGACACATGTTCATTCATGGTAGAAAGAAACATGTTATTCCTGATGGCATTGGGCTAGTCTGTGTTAGAAATGTGCTAGCGACATTAATCCATGTTAACATGTTCACCATGCTAGACATGTGTCAATTCCTGCTAGCAACATACAAATTTAGGAGAAAGATGTGCTAATTTATGTTAGCAGTGTGCTAATTCATTATTTACAGTGCAAAACAATCCATGGTAACTAATAAAGAAACGTTAATTTGTGTTCAAAACATGCTAACTTGTGCTAGCAGTGACTAATTCATGCTAGCATACACAGAAATGTGCTAGAAGCTTGCCATATGATATGTTAACATATGCTTGAATGTTATTTTGTGTTAGAAACATGCTAATTCCTTATAAAACTTTCACATGCTAGACAAATGCTGTTAAATCTGATGTTAGAAACATGCTTGCTGCATGATAATACATGTAACATGATAAACATTTTAACAACGTTAAATAGACTAGTCTAAACATGCTAGCTACTTGCTAATAGAGACTCAGATTTATCTGGGTACTTTAAGCTTACATCAAAGTTTATCTTCTATTTTGCTAATACTTTCTCACTTTTAACATTGCAATTTAATGTACGATGGTTGAAGAGTCTAAATATTTGTATGCTTTTTGAAACAATTATTATTTATTCCAGTAATTCTGATTAGATTCTTGCAGCAAACTTGTGTTGGCAGTTGATGTTTAGTGATTATTTTGCTGTGATAATTTTCAAAGCATCAGAAAGGTAGAACTGAATTAGTTGTTCATATCCCTGTTATATATAAATCTAAGAGCAGCTCAGCCACCAACTTTGTCTTATTTTTGTTGTCAGTTAGAAGAAGAAATCACTACTTTGAAACAAGTCCTGGCCTCCAAAGAGAAGCGTCACTTGGAGTTGAAACAGAAACTGGGGATCACGGCTCTGAGTGAACTGCGGCACAACTTCAACAAGAGCTGGAATGACATGCAGACCAGCACAGTGTAAGTAGTATTTGCTAAAGCCAGCAAGTTCATTTTTATTTTATTATTATTTTTTGTTCATTTTTTTATTTTTATTTTGATGGTTTATGATGATACAGATGCGTCATGCATGCTTTTTTAAGTTGACAGCAGTTGTTGTTCTTGCTCACTTGGTGCATTATGAGAGAAAACATATAAAAAAAACATTTTTCAAACTGAAAGAGATAAATTCCGAGCATGTATGAGAGCATATAACATAACATTTTATTTTTATGACCAGACATAGAAAAGAAGGGTTTTATTTGCCAAATTAGCCACTCTAGGTCTTTATTCTAGCACATAATACTCTAAACACTATCAGTTCATTTGTTTATTTATCACTTCCTGTGTGTGGTGCCTGTTTTTGTTAAATCGCTGAATGCCGCCTCAATTGTAAGTTACTTTGGACAAAGGCGTCTGACTAAATGTATGTAAACGAGATGAAAGGTTTTACATTACATTAATTAGGATTTTAAGTCTCATATATGATAACTTAAAACTTACGCATTTTTAAAAACATCCATCAAAGGCCAGTGTCACTCATGTGACGGAAGAACGGGGAAAAAATTATACATGTTGGACTTACTGCAATGGTATCATGAAGCACCGCAGACATGGTCATAAACTATGCCACATGACACGAGGACAAATGATTGAATCTTGTATCTCGATGCCCATTTGGCGTTTACGAATCCCCATGACACCCTACACCCTGAGGGAATCATGCCAAAATTGTGACAAAATGTGATCTGAATCGGGCTTTATTTGTATTTATTGTAGAATGATGTAACCTCTGTCAAGCCTTTTAGTTAAATGTGAAAATGTAAAGACTACTACTAGACTGGGACTGGGAACACTTGATGGATGTTTTTAAAAATGCATGAATTTTGAGTTATCAACTTTTATATTTAATGTTTTTTAATGTAAAATTTTTTATTTCACATATACATGTAGTAAGAAACTTTTGTTTAAAGTGACTTACAGTTGAGGCGGCATACAGCGATTCAACAAAACAGGCAACATGTTAATTATAATTAAGTGCTAATTATATTTATGAACTGATAGTGTTCAGAGAATTATGTGCTAGAGTAAAGAGGGGGTGTTTTTTAGTAGAGTGTTTCTACAGGTGGTTTATCAAACCCACTCACCTGTGCGAACACACTTTTGTGTCTTTATTTTATATATATTTTTATTTTTTTGAGATATGGAGTGATTGTAAGATAGCGTCTGGTACAAAACTGGTGCAAGTGTCAGTTAAAGTGTCAGAGAGATGAAATAATTAATTGAAATGTTTGTTTGTTTGTTTGTGTTCATTTTTAATTATGTATTGGTATATTATAGCAAAATTATAGTATGTTTTTAACTAAATTGATCTTGCCGTGAAATAGCCATAAGTGGCAACAAATACAAAAAAATTAAAAATTGTTTCTGCCTATATTTTGAAGAATACAGAGAGTTTAAATGTCACAATTTGTACTTTTAAAAAAATAATCAGAATTGTAAGATATGACCACATCATTGTAAGGACAAAAAAGTCTGCATTCTGAAAAGTTAAATGTTAAAATTGCTTATTTTTCATTGCTAAAACAAGCATCCATTAAGGCCAGGGGTGTCCAAACTCGGTCCTGGAGGGCCGGTGTCCTGGAGAGTTTAGCTTAACCTTAATCAAACACACCTGAACCAGCTAATTAAGCTCTTACTAGATATACTAGAACAGGGGTCACCAATCTCGTCCCTGGATGTCTGGTGCCCTGCAGGGTTTAGCTCCAACTTCACCTGCCTGGGTGTTTCAAGTATACCTAGTAAGACCTTGATTAGCTTGTTCAGGTGTTTTTGATTAGGGTTGGAGCTAAAATCAGCAGGACACCGGACCTCCAGGTCCAAGTTTGGCCACCCATGATTAAGAACAAAAGTGGAAAAAGTATAGCATCAGCAGCAGTAGCAGTAGCAGAAGTAGAAGCAGCAGCAGTAGTAGTAACAGTAGTACTAGTAGTTCATACACGTTAAATATTTTTTTTTTCCATGCTGAAATTCAGTTCACAACCAGATTATTAAGAAAAACACATCTGAAATTAACCTAATTTAAATCTTGTCTGTTGCACAATCCGTTTAAGCAACACTAACAATATAAACCACCAGCAGAAGTGTTGTTTTCTTGTTTGTTTATTCCACTTCCCTGCAGCAAAATTTACATTGACCTGTTTTTTTTATTTTATGTTGTTGTTGTTGTTGTCCATTAACTTGCCTTTTTATATTGAGAATGAATTGCAGTCAAAATGAGCATGTAGAAACAGCGGTGTTTCCCCTGTCAGTGTATATTGAGGTTATTGCCATCACAATGAGATCCATATCTGCTTCAGTTCACATTCACCCAGATAAACAATGATGTTCTGACTCACACAAACCATTTGCACACACAAAAAAAAATGTCCATGCTGATCCTAGCTGAACATCTCTCTTCCTGTTTTTAAGCACACACTGAAAATGCGCATGAATAAATGAGCTATTATTGCCAATGAAACGGCAATAGTGTAAGATTTACTTTAAAAAACATCTTGATAATTCTTTTGTAGTATTATAGTTAGGGTCGTGAGATTTAGGGAAAATGTCTTTTTTTCATTGTTATTTTTTTATTATTATTATTATTTTATAGATATTGCGATTTCGGTTAGGTTTTGTTGTGAAGCTTCAGCTCAATAATCTGTATTGAAGCTTCTTACTGCTAAAATGCAGTGAGCAGAACTGAAAAAATTTCAACTTATATTAGGAAACAACTCTAAAATCGTACTTTGCTTGCTAGATTGAGTGTCACTGGCATGACTTTTGTTGACTTTTTAGCAAGCCACTCCTCATATAGCCATATCTGGTCCTTTTTTAGGCGCTGGTTGTTGTATTTCCTCGTGCTGTGGCAACAATTCTGCGACAGCTCTTACAAATTGCCTAGTTTTGTTTGGTGTCTTTGACTTTGAAGCCAAGATATTCCCATATTACAGACCAGGGGCCTCATGTACGAAGACTTGCGTGGAAATCTTACTAAAACTTTGCGTACGCACAAAGCTGTAAATGTGCGTACGCAGAAAAAATTTCAGATGTATGAAACACTGCGTACGCCGAATCCCACGCACATTCTTTTGTACATCTGAATGAACGTGAAACTGAGCGCAACATGCACGAGCACAAAACCCCTCCCTGCCTCCTCCCCCGTATGAATATGCTAATGACTATGCTAATGGCAAAACCCAACGAAAAAGCAACGGCAAAATCAAGCAAAAAGAGAAACTTTGAACAGAATGTGAATTGGAGGTGCTGCTTTCGGAGGTAGACCGGAGAAAAGCGGTGTTATTTGCAAGTTTGTTCTCCGGAATTAACAACAAATGAAAAAAATAGAGTGGGAGAGTTTAGCTGATACGGTTAACACAGTTGGGTCTGAACATCGCACTGAGTGCATTTAAAACAGAAATAGTGTGGTTTATAACTGAAAAATGTTGCAGTACCCTTAACAGTCTCAGTAGCGCACCTCATGAGAAGCATGTGATCTTGTACTGACATGTTCGAGCATTAACTCGGCTCGAATCCAGCTTCTAATGAATTCTTTCTTTTTTTCCCCGCTACATATCAGATTTTGCCCACTATTTATCAAGAGAAAGACTAGTAGGAATCATTAATAAGTTTGTGCATCATATTTTATTTGCACATTTATTGAATGGAAATGTTTCTGATTCACGCATGCAAATTCATCTTCAGATAGTGTCTTTATAGCAATGTGTGTGCAGTAGATCGCTCAGATTACATTGGGAAAACAGGCGACCGCTTCAAATTGTGCTTTAATGTTTAGCTGGTCAACTGTATGGTATGGAAATCTTACATACCTACTATATGAACCCGTCTCATACAGCTGCCATTGCAAGGATCAGACACTTTGTAGAGAAGAATTTAACACAACTGCCTCTAGGAGTCGCCAATGGAAATAAAACAGACACGCACAAAAAATGTGCGTACGCCTGCCAGAAAGCTGCCGTGAACCTGCGCACATTCCCACGTTCAGTTCATTGTTAGTAAATCCAAACGTGAGCGATTCTGAGCGTGAAACCTGGCGTACGCAAAGTTTTTGTGCGTACGCAGCGTTGATACATGAGGCCCCTGCTGTTTTTCTTTTATATTAATTCGTCTATTAATGCTTCTGAAGCGGCAGATGCCATCATCCCACTTGTTCGCGCTTTCCTGTTTGTTGTTTTATTGTGGGCGTTCCGCATAGTTTTGTTGTGTAATTCTGATTCAGCAGAACAAAAGTGGGCTCACTTTATTGGCTAGTAAGGCTGTCACACACAGACAACAGTCATGAATTTCCACTGGATGGGGAAGATAAATAATATATATTTCATATCGCAGCCTCTTGCAATTATCTAATCGCAATGTTTAAAATAGCGGTTTCAATTTGATTTCGATTAATCGCACTGCCCTAATTTTAGTAATACTGTTCACTGTCACTGCTCGGAATAAAACCTAATAAGATTTAATAAGGTATTGTTTTTACATAGATTATAGCATGATTAATGTTCTTTTAATAACATCATAACATAAAAAGATACTATGGATAGGGGGTTGAATGGAGAAAAACAATGCATAGAGGTTTATAATTACATTAGAGATAAATATAGACATCACTTTTGGTTGTTTAGTGAACTAGTCAAGTTTATTATTTATGCATTTTTTATATGGCTATTGGTGTTTATTATTATATTTTAATATTAATTATTAATAATGATTATTTGGTATTATAGTGGTATTTTAATATGAGTGAGATACAATAGTTTTAAAATTTGTACTTTTAATCTATTTTTAAAATTTATTTTCTTTTTTCAAAAGTTTAATGTATGAATAAAATATAATATTATTTATTCATTTTCCTTCGGCTTAGTCCCTTTATTCATCAGGGGTCGCCACAGCGGAATGAACCGCCAACTTATCCAGCACATGTTTTA